TTCTTCTAAATATCTTCTTTTGTGCTCAACAAAATAAAGAAACTCATAAAGGTTTGGAATCACTTGATGGTGAGTGAACAGTAAATAGTGAGTGAATTTTTTATTTTTTGGGTGAACTGTCCCTTTAATAGCCTCTATACATATATCAACTTACTTTCTGGCCACATAGATATCAACATCTGGCAATTATTTTACTGAAAAACGTAACATTTTAAACATATTTGCATATAAAATAAAATACTTTACTTGTTTACACAGGTCACCATGTGGTGGTCTCCTCAGAGTGTATTAAAATAATGAGCAAAACACTGTATTTCTGCATCATCCTGCTAAATCTACATACTTAAACTTTACTTGTTTCAAACATTTATGGGCTTCTTCTGCTAAGCACAAAGAAAGATATATAGAACAATGCCGAAGACCAATTGTTTTACCTACAGTACCATGGATGTCAATGGTTACAGGTTTTCCTACTATGGAAGTCAATGATTACAGGTTTTCAGCTTTCTTCAAAATTTCTTCTTTAGTGTTCAACAGCAATAATATCTCATAAAGGTTTGAATTCACTTGATGGTGAGTAAATAGTGAGTGAATTTGATTTTTTTGGGTGAACTATCCTTTTAATAGCTACTATATATATCAACTCACTTTCTGACAACATGCTGTAAATATAAACATCTGGCAATTTTTGTACTGAAAATTTTTACATTTTCAACACATTTTATATAAAAATAAAACACTTTACTAGTTTACGCTGGTCACCATGTGGTGGTCTCCTCAGTGTATCAAAATATTGTGCAAAACACTGTATTTTTACATCATCCTGCCAAATCTACTACTTGTTTCAAACAATTATGAGTTTCTTGTTGAGCACAAAGGAAGATATTTAGAAGAATGCTGGAGCCCGGTAACCATTTGTTTTTACCTATGGAAGTCAATGGTTACAGGTTTTCAGCTTTCCTGTAAATATCTTCATTAGTGTTCAACAGAAATAATCCATTAAGGTTTGAAATCTCTTGAGGGTGAGTAAATAGTGAGTGAATTTTTATTTTTGGGTGAACTATCCCTTCAATATTAACATTTTGACTTACTTTCTGGCCACATAAATATCAGAATCTGGCAATTTGTATTTTTTTTCTTTAAAACGTAACATTTCCCTGCTGAAAAAAACAGCTTAAACCAGCCTAGGCTGGTTGGCTGGATTTAGCTGGTTGACCAGGCTGGTTTTAGAGGGGTTTTGGCCATTTCCAGGCTGGTTTCCAGCCATTTCCAGCCTGGTCTTAGCTGGTCAGGCTGGGAGATGACCTGCTAAAACCAGCTTGACCAGCTTAGCCAGGCTGGGAGCCCAGCCAAAACCAGTTATGTCCAGCTTAAACCAGGCTGGTCAAGCTGGTTTTAGCTGGATTTAGCTGGTCATTTTCCAGCCTGACCAGCTAAGACCAGGCTGGAAATGGCCAAAACCCCTCTAAAACCAGCCTGGTCAACCAGCTAAAACCAGCCAACCAGCCTAGGCTGGTTTAAGCTGGATTTTTCAGCAGAGATTTTAATACATTTTCGTATACTTGTATACACTGGACACCATGTGTTTGTCTCCTCAAAGTGTACTAAACATTGAGCAGAACATTGTATATCATCCTGCTTAATCCTCTTACTTATTAAGTGCATACACAACAAAAGCAAATTTAAAATAAAGTACAACTGACAAGTATAGAAATGTGTTTCGCTCAGTGTTAAAAAAATAATGATCAATGAACAATTTAACCAGTTTCTGAAACTTATTATTAAAAGGGATTGTTCACCCAAAAATGAACAAAAAAATGACTCAATATTTTCTCACCCTCGAGTGCTTCCAAACCTTTATGGGTTTCTTATTTTTCTGCTGAACCAAAAAGAAGACAGCTTGAAACTGGTAACCATTCACTTCCACAGGGAAACCCAAAACTATTGAAGACAATGGTTACCGGTTTCCAATGTCTTCTTTTGTGTTTAACAGAAGAAAGAAACTCAAACAGGTTTGTGAGGATTGAAGGCGAGTAAATGATGACACAATATTCAGTTTTGGGTGAATGGTCATCCTTTTAAATGTAAAAAGGTTCAACAAAACAGGCTAGCTTTAACCCAACATTTACGTCTGTGCTAAATTCTGAGCCAACCATAAATGTCACAGCAAAGATTGAGAAACATCAGACCAGGCAGCATTTCATGGGTCATGTCGTCCACTTTTTGGTGAGCTCGTGTGAATTGTAGCCTCAGTTTATGAGTGTCACCAGTGAGCTCTTCTCCTTGTTCTTCTTCTGTAGCTCATCTGCTTCAAGGTTAAACATGTTGTGTGTTCAGAGACGCTCTTTAGCAGATCTCAGTCAAAGCAAGTTGATATCTAAGTTTGAGTTACTATTGTGTTCCTCTGAACCTCTGAACGCACAACACGTACAACCTTGAGGCGGATGAGCTACAGCAGCAGAAGACCACACCGGGTGCCAATACTGTCAGCTAAGCACAGGAAACTGAGGCTACAATTCACACAGACTCACCAAAATTGGACAGTAGAAGATAAGAAAACCGTTTCCTAATCTGATGAGTCTCGATTTCTGATGCAACATTCAGATAGTAGAGTCAGAATTTGGCGTCAACAACATGAAAGCTTGGATCCATCCTGCCTTGTATCAGCGGTTCAGGCTGGTGGTGGTGGTGTAAGGGTGTGCGGGATATTCTCTTGGCACACCTTGGGCCAATTAGTACCAATTGAGCATCGTGTCAACGCCACAGCCTACCTTGTTGCTGACTATCTCCATCCCGTTATGACCACAGTGCAACCATCTTTTGATTTTGATGGCTACTTCCAGCAGAATAATGCACCATGTCATAAAGCGTGAATCATCTCAGACTGGTTTCGTGAACATGACAATGAGTACACTGTACTCAAATGGTCTCCACAGTCACCTGATGTCAATCCAATAGAGCACCTTTGGGATGTGGTGGAACAGGAGATGCAGCAACTTTGAGATGCTATCATGTCAATATAAACCCAAATATCTGAAAAACATTTCCAGTATCCTGTTGAATCTGTCACAGAGGATTAAGGCAGTTCTGAAAACAAAAGTGGTCCAACCCGGTACTAGTAAGGTGTACCTAATAAAGTGGCCGGTGAGTGTACGCCTGCGCATTTGTTAATTTGTACATTTTTATTCTCTATTTACTTAATTTTTAATTTCTTTGTTATCCCCGTTTAACGATGCTAAACAAATTATAAAGCAAACTGTTGCTGAAGTCTACTTAATAAATAGTAGCTTTTTTACTAGTAGAGAAAAAAATAAATGAATAAAAATTCAATAAAATCTCTGGGCTATGTAACGTTGCGAGAAACTCATTTTGAAATACTAATTATTACTAATTCCTAAAGAGTTCTCAAAGATGAACAACACCTATTTGACCAAATTATGGGCATGAATTATGGACATGTTTTATTATTATGATCTCTCTCTCTCTCTCTCTAATGTAGTTTAATCCATTTGTAATGACTTACTGTATAAACACCAGACTAAGACATGCTTATAAAACTAATAAAGCAACCAACGAGTGTGTGTGTTTGTGCGTGTAACTTTAAAAACAGCCACAAATCTTTGTTTTCATCCCATTTGTTTGTACTTTGACGTACTGAATAATTGATATGGTCCATCATTGATTGATTTCATTTGTACTGTATCTCCTTTTCCTTCGACATTCTGACTCCTGCATTACTGCTGTTTAATCTTACAAGCGTTTGGATTCGAGGAGTTATCTGTCTTTAAAAGTCGGAGATGTGTGAGAGAACGTCTCACATTCAAGGTTCTCTCTGAATCAAGGTTTTCTCCTCAAATTTCTCAAAACAATGTTGTGAACGCAGTCGTTTCCCACTGCTTTTGCTTTGGTGTGAGAACATTTGTGCTTTCTGTGAGACGAAGTCAAAGCAAAGTAGAGCTAAAGTTCTGAAGAAGTCTGAGATCTGAAACATACGCAGCTAAGATTACAGAGGAAATCCTGGTTTATTTATGATCATCGCCCTCCTGCCATTTTAAAGCCTTCTCTATAAACCTGTCAGGCTGATAGAGGACTACCGTTTCGGATACAAGACAAAATGCAGTTCTTATGTGTCCAAAAAAAACAGTGGCTCAATGGTTAGCGCTGTCGCCTCAGAGCAAGAAGGTTGCTGGTTCGACTCCCGGCTGGGCTAGTAGGCATTTCTGTATGGAGTTTGCATGTTCTCCCCGTGTTCGTGTAAGCTTCCTCTGTGTGCTCCAGTTTCCCCCACAGCCCCAAAACATGCGCTGTAGGTGAATTTAATAAACTAAACCAGGGGTTCTCAACTAGTTTGGTCATGGGACCCACATTCATACATAGTCATCAGGCCAAAATTTCAGAAACTATAATATAATTTTAGGAATTATAATTCATTATATCAAGTAGTGACAGATAAATCATAGAAAAATCACCAAGGCTTACAAAAAACATTACTTTATTGCTGTCATTTAACAAAATGCATCAAATTATAGTAATATTACAGAGTTAAAACGTCAAATACTGTAAACAGTGGTTAGGGTAAGGAAAAGTTCAGTTGTCGCACACGGATTTCAAAATAAAAGTCTGATATAAGCTCACATAATAAGTAATAAAATAAAATGTTGTTGTTTTTTTGACGTAACACTCAGCGACCCACTTTTGGGTCACGACCCACCAGTTGAGAAACACTGAACTAAACTGTCCGTAGTGTACGAGTGTGTATGTGAATGAGCGTGTATGTGTGTTTCCCAATATTGGGTTGCAGCTGGAATGGCATCGGCTGCGTAAAAACATATGCTAGAATAGTTGTCGGTTCATTCCGCTGTGGCGACCTCTGAAATAGAGCCTAAGCTGAAGGAAAACCATGAATATACAGGAGGGCTAATAATTCAACTGTAAAACCTGTAGAATGACGTTTTGGTTTCATTTGAAAGCCACTGGAAACGAAACACAAGAAACGAGAGTTTTTTTTTCCTCCCAATTTAATAGATTTGAATCAACCAAACAAAAACACGAACTGTTCAAACCAAACCACAGTGAGGGCATCCATAACTGTACCATTACAGCGATGGATATGAAGTTATTCAGCTTTTTTACAGAAGATGAGTCCAGGCCTGGAAACGTGGAGGATCTCAAAGGATTTTGACTATGGGGAAGTATTTGTGAGCAGAGAAGTCAAATTCAGGAAGGGCCTACGGAGAGAAAACAGCTATGAATGCACTGAATTTCAACTCTGTGAATACCATTTATGTGCTCTTAATACAAGACATAATTTAGGCCCAATCCCAATTCTACCCATTAGCCCTATCCCTTGTTTTGCACATTCATGTGAAGGGGTAGGGGTGTATCGATTCTCTTTAGCTTGAAGGCGTAAGGTTAAGGGGAAGGGCTAGATAGCCCTTGAAACTGAGATTTCAAACTGAGAATTCACTCGAAACCGAAGGGTAAGAAAATTTCCCAGAATACACCATCTACAACAGCAGCATGGCAGCACACGGATATCAGGAGACGCACAAATTAGTATTTTTTTTTGTCATTATTACAAGTTTTTACGTCAAACAAACACCTTTTAATATATTCATAACCGCGTCCGTGTTTTACCGTCATGCTTTAAAAAAAAAAAACGCTAAAATAAAAACCGTTTAATTTGGCTATCTATAATCCCTATAATAACTCCTGTACAGCATTCCCACAACATTCTGTCACTCGATGACACTCGAATCTCCTGTCAGAAAAGTCTAGTGGCTGACAATGAGCTTTTTACAGTGTCTGCTATGATGTTAATGTTGTTTTTGTGCGTTTATATAGATGAATATGGCCACTGTGTAAATGCACAGTACAGTACAATCTTATATCCACATTATATACATGTTGATAAAATGATATCGCTACCTTCAGTGATTTCCTGAAAAAAAAAAAAAAAAACAACAACACAACTAGAATAACTACAGTAGTCGCCATCGTCGATTTCATATGAAGCAAGAGATCTTGATGACGTGTGCAGTTGTTGTAGTAATGTCCCATTTCTTAGGGTTAAATTTTGAAGCCCTTTCCCTTCCCACTCTGTTTCAAGGGCCAAGGAGAACGGGTAGGGGTACAAAAATAGAACTGGGATTGGGCCTTTTATTGTCATCTTTAGTTTGTAATAAAAATAAAAGTGGATTTCAGACATGTACTGTATATTAACACATTTATAAATGCTACCATAAATAATGCTAAAATAATACAGTATAAAACAATTAATTAATAGGTTTAAAATGACAAAGGGAAAACGCTTACTGATTTAAAGGGGACCTATTATGCAAAAATCACTTTTATAAGTGGTTTCAACCCAGTCGTGTGGCAACAGTGTGCAGGATAACCAGCTTTTAATAGTAAAAATGTATTAATTAAATTTTTTATAATCACACTTGATATAAACAGTCTGCAGAAACACTTTGATTGACTTTCTCCCTTTGGATGTCTCATCAGAGGGGGAAAGCCCCACCCACTAGTGACCATCTCTCCCTCGTTAGCATATGATGTTACGGTTCATTTACACGGAGCATCAGCGTCAACGCTTCCCATTAAATTTGAATGGGTGACGTCAAGCGTTGCCGAACTGAATTGTGGGTCCATCGATGCCGCAGCCAATAGCGGCAGCCAATGAGATTGCTGTATGCAAATACACCAGCTCAGACAGTAGCCGATTGTGGACAAATGTCATTGGCTGACGCTGATATAACGATCGCGTCAGCCCCAACTTCAGACACGCCCTCTGTCAAGCACTGACGCTGAAGCCCCATGTGAATCAGCCGTTATTCTTGTTTTTGAATCTGCCACTATGCTATGCTCCGCCTTCATTTGTAAAGAGCACAATCTCATTTGAATATAAAGTCTATAAGGGTCAGTTTCAAAGAGTTATAAAATATTACTTGTGTGGTGTTTTGAGCTGAAACTTCACATACACACTCTAGAGACATCAGAGAGTTATTTTACATCTTGTAACAAGGGACATAACCAAAAAACATTTTTTGTACCTTGGTCTCCTTCTTGTGTCCTCCAGCCAGCAGCTTCATTACAACAATATTGGGTTTGGCCACTTTAAGGATACGATTAACCTAAAACAAGATTCAGCAACAAAATCATTTTTAGCGCAGTAATTGCTTGAGAAAGATGTTCCTTCTAACATAAAATAAATGAGTTTTAAATAGATTTACAGTGCATCTGAAAAGTATTCATAGCGCTTCACTTTTTCTAAAAAAATGTTATGTTAAGCTGAGTGATTGGGGGAGAAGGGCCTTAGTCAGGGAGGTGATCAATAACCCGATGGTCACTCTGTCTGAGCTCCAATGTTCTTCTGTGGAGGGAGGAGAATTTTACAGAAGGACTAGCATCTGTGCAGCAATCCACCAATCAGGCCTGTATAGTAAAGTGGCCAGACGGAAGCCACTCCCCGCCTGGAATTTGCCAAAAGGCATCTGAAGGACTCTCAGACATAACAAACTAAATTTTCTGGTGTAATGAGACTAAAACTGAACTCTTTGGAGTGAATACCAGGCGTTACATTTGGAGAAAACCAGGCGCTCATCACCAGGCTAATACCATCCCTACGGTAAAGCATGGTGGTGGCAGCATCATGCTGTGGGGATGTTTTTTGCAGCAGGAACTGGAAGACTAGTCAGGATAGAGGGAAAGATGAATGCAGCAATGTACAGAGACATCCAGAATGAAAACCTGCTTCACAGTGCTCTTGACCTCACACTGGGGCGACGGTTCATCTTCCAGCAGAACAATGATCCAAAGCACACCGCCAGAATATTAATGGAGTGGCTTCACAACAACTCTGTGAATGTCCTTGAGTGGCCCAGCCAGAGCCCAGACCTAAATCCTATTGAACATCTCTGGAGAGATCTGAAAATGGCAGTACACCGTCACTTCCCATCCAACCTGATAGAGCTTGAGAGGTACTGCAAGGAGGAATGGGCAAAAATTTCCAAAGACAGGTGTGCTAAGCTTGTGGCTTCATATTCAGAAAGACTCGAGGCTGTAATCGCTGCCAAAGCTGCATCAGCAAAGTATTGAGCAAAGGCTGTAAATACTGATGCACATGTAATCCTTCAGGTTTTATATATTTAATAAATTTGCAACAACTTCAAAAACTTCTTTTTTTCACATTGTCATTATTGGGTATTGTGTAGAATGTGGAGGAAATAAATGAATTTAATCCATATTGGAATAAGGCTTTAACATAAAATAATGTTGAAAAAATGAAGTGCCATGAATACTTTCCGGATGCACCGTATATATATATATATATATATATATATATATATATAAATGAAATGTTGACAAAATGAAATAAATTGTGAAATGAATTCTTGGGTCGAAATCATGTTTTGAACAAATTCTTAAAAGTTCTTATAACTCTGTTTCTAATACCAACATTATTTTGTCTGTCATTATGACAGTAAATAATAATTTATTGTTAATTTGCAAGACACTTGTATTGTTTAGTGATTGTTTCTCAAAGATAAAAAAAAAATCAGAGCACACACAGTTAAAGACAAAATGATTAGCTTATAAATTTAGAGTAATCATGATCACCTCTACTGTACATAATTCTGTTAATAAGACTAGACCGATTCCCAAAGCAATATAAGAACTGTCTGAAGTGTACCTCTGCATCAGGGCTGGTGACATTTTCCAGAATGAGTTTGGCCTGCTGGAAATGTTTACTGGCAGCCATATAGAGATCCGCTGAGCGAGGAGGAGGATTGTACTTCTTCAAATCGGACATTTCCTACATTCACACACAGAGATGGAGAGAAATAATATGAATAATAATTAATACATTACAATTAATTAATCATATACTTAATTATCTATTCATAATTAATAATAGAGTAATAATAATAATAATATATATATATATATATATATATATATATATATATATATATATATAAATATATATATATATATACATACATTCATATACAATTATATATATATATATATATATATATATATATATATATATATATATATATATATATATATATATATATATATATATATATATATATATATATACACAGATACATACATCTTTTTTAATAATCATATTAGTCTTTTTTTCTGTATGGATTTATCAAATTTTTTATTGTTTTTTTATGCATGTATACATGTATTAATATTGTATTCATTGTTTATGTAATATTCAATGCTTTGGGAATACTTGATAAAATCACAACAAAAATGTAAGAGAATTGTATCAGTACACATCCCCTTCGTATATTGAATAAAAGTCATGTACCTTAAACTGGATGTAGTGAACTGGTGGTGGCGTGACCACACTGTTGAAAGGGGCGAAGCGATGCTCGTAGCGCACCTGCTCACTGTCCAGCTCAAACTGAGGTTTGCGCACCTTTCGATCCATATCCAGCGCGATCATCGTCTGACAGAGAGACAGTAGATAAAGTAGCAGAATCAAAGACATCTTTTTGTCTGAAACTATTTGTTTATAAAAACATTAAGTAAGTCTTTTGGCGTCTCCAGAATGTGCCTGTAAAAGTTTCTGCAAAAAGTACCCATCAGATTCCTAGATTACATCTAGATATTAGGTTAGAGGACATTTTAGCTGTTTTTGTAGCCTATGCCTTTAAATGCAAATGAGCTGGTTCTCCCCACCCATCTTTCCCAAGTGCTTGTCTGCTTTAACTGCATGACGTCATATAAACATCAGTCAGTGACAGAGATGCACACGGATGAAGCAGAAATCCAGCACATTACTCAAAAATACCAAGTAAGTTCCATGTATTTGTGGTGGAGTTGGACACGGTGGCGCAGTGGGTAGCACAATCGCCTCAAAGCAAGAAGGTCACTGGTTCGAGCCCCCGTTGGGTCAGTTGGCATTTCTGTTTGGAGTTTGCATGTTTTCCAAGTGTTTGCATGGGTTTCCTCTGGGTGCTCCGGTTTCCCCCACAGTCCAAAGACATGCGCTATAGGTAAACTGAATAAGCTAAATTGGCCGTATTGTATGTATGAATGCAAGAGTGTATGGGTATTTCCCAGTGTTGGGTTGCAGCTGGAAGGGCATCCTCTGCGTAAAACATATGCTGGATAAGTTGGTGGTTTATTCTGCTGTGGAAACCCCAGATTAATAAACGGAATAAGCCAAAAATAAATGAATGAATCAATGTGGTAGAGTTTATTCAAGCCTTTCTGAAACGATGAGTCCCACACAAATGCTGTTAGAACGTTTCAGTATACACACGTTTACTGAACTACGCAAATTAAATAGCGATTTTTGTGTCTTTATTACAAACATGCTCTGCTTAAAAAAAGGTTTTTAACTTGTAAAACTAACTCTTGAGATCTTTTAATCCCAGTTTCTTTGCAAAACCTGTTCTGTGGAAACTTTTAACACATGGGTATGCAGCATGTTAATAACGTTTACTCCAGTCTGTTTTACCTTGTACATGCCAGCACACATGTTCTGGTAAGCCTGGCTCATGGTGATCTCTTTACTCAGAGGACGAGCTGAGGAGACAGCGGAAAACATGAAGGCTTACGACTGAAACATGACAATCATACAAAGCAGAAGAGATGAATATAGAAACCTTTCTTCTTCTTCTTGCTCTTCTTGCTGCTGCGCACTTTGAGCTGCTCCTCCAGGATTCTCTCCTCCGCCATCTGAGAGCTGTCGGCTCGACTCAACGTCGACATCAGCCACGCATACAAGAACTCTGACAAATACCTGAAGATGCATACATGGAGACAAAGACATGTAAACTTTTTTCAAACATCATTAGACGAGTTGACCAGCCTGTTTTGCTGCTGAACTTTAAGACTATATACCTCTGTTATGAATGGATAACGTCTTCATATGTTTAATATCCGTTTTATTGTGCTAACACCTAATTTAGGCCATATTAATACATTATAGCAGTGCTCCTCAACCACCGGGCCGTGGACCAGTAACGGTTCATGGATCAATTGGTACCTGGCCGCAAGGAAATCATTAATTATTTCTGTTTAATTTATTATCTGAGTCTTTTATTTTGAAAAATCTTTTATTTTGAAAAATTACTGTTTTCTCTTGTTTACACTTGAGCGCCCAAAATTAACCCTCAAGCAATAAAACGAGTACGAAACAGTTGCCTCTGGAAAGTTTCTTTGCTAAGAGGAACAGGCCCAGTGAAGGACCCACGAACTGCCAAGGAATGAATCCACAACCCATTTGTCAACAATTCAGGTGAATCCACCATGTCTGTCCAAGAAGATCAACTGATGGAGATCGCAAATGACTGCAGCCTTTTAGGTGCCGTTAGCATATCATGTCTTTTTTGAATTTGCACAAGTTTGTAGTTTCCGATGGAGGTGCACGGCTTGCGCGCATAAGTGGTGTGACGCGAGACACGTGACAATAACTGATCGATCAGCTTCATACTTTGTATTGAATATACACACCGAGGTAGACTAATCATCTCAGACAAACACAGAACACCCAAACACTGCAGTGCTTTTTAATTTGCTCCATAAATAAAACTTGTATCAGAGTGACAGCAATAATTTGCTGTCGCCAAGAAACCTACAACCTATTAAAAACCGCAACCCTATAACCCCCCATATATATTTATAAACTATTGTCAGTAGATGACAATTTAAACACTTAAAATACTAATTAACAGCCAATGGACTTCAAACAATGGACAGTACCGATAAAAACAACTGTTCAGCATAATTCTTTATCTCAGCTAAATTATGTTATAAATTTTGAAATAAACAATTACATTATGACTGATAAATATTTAGATGACAGTCATCAAGGAGGCCAAAATCTAAAACTGGCTCAGAAAAATAGTGGCTTTTCATTTTCTGTTGGTCTTGGTACACAGTGCAACTACAAAAGCTTTAAATAAAGATTAAAAATTGTATCAAAACTCACTGGTCATTTATTAAAGGGTCACGAAACACCAAAACACATTTTTTGAGCTGTTGACAGTCGTATATGTGTCCCACACTGCTAAAAACACTATTAGGACACCTATATTTCACTAAAAAGTGTAAATTGGTTGTTTTTGCGTTATTTTAAGCAAATTCGTACTTCCTGTTTGAAACGAATTTTTGAAGCTGCGTCACGGCCATGACATAATAGCCTGTATTCCAGCGTGCAGACTGGGCGTCTGTGCCTGAGTGAGTCTTATTACGTCTTACAGTGTGTTGCATTAATGCATGAGTAAGGCTTGGGTCAAACCAATCAGCGCACTCTATTGTGCAACTTCATTAATATTCATTACTATCACCGTGTTTTCAGGACAGAGACGCCACGTTGTGTTGGCAAAACAAGCGTGAAGTGTTGCTTTTATAGTTTGCTGCAGTTAAGTTTCGTTTTCATTTTCTCTCTGTGAGAGCTCAGACTCACGTGTGGATTACAGTGTACGCGACGCGCGACAACAATAACTTACGTGTCTAAGGAGGATTATTGTTTACCTGAGAGCTGTTCTCATCTGCAAACGCTGGGATCTGGAATCGTTTGTAGTATTCTCTTCATAAAGACGCGGCTCTAGTTGCTGGTGATTGTCCTGTCTCTACAGATTTGGTAAGTGAGCGACCAGTGCTCTTTGTTTATTCAGTTTGTTCGTATCTAACAAACTATTGCACAGAGTGTAAACACGTTAGCACCACAACCAAACTTTAATCTCGTGTAGGGTTTTTACCGCATTTAGTGACCGGAATAACACGCGCGGCTTTCTGACACTACCTGTCGTGTGCATCTAAGTTTCTGGGAAATGCAGAGGGTTTTTTTCTCTCATTCGCCTTGCGGTATAAAACATTGCATGAAAAATACACTCTTAGAGCAGCTCCTCGAATCAAATATCTCGTGTGTCGCGAGGGGCATGAATGAATTCCCTGAATGAAAGAGCCAAACTGCAGTTAAAGTCCACCATTTAATAATTTGGCTAATAATTCGACTACAGATGTCCATGTAGGTTAAACACCATCACATTCTCCTGTATGTATGTGTGTGTGTGTGTGTGTGTATTTTGACTCTGAAACTCGCGCGTGCCCAAATCGACACTCCCACACCCTCCCACTTTAGTTCCTCCGACACTCCCCCCTAAACAGAGCTGGACACGCCCACTTTTCTGACTTTTTCCAAAGAAGAGGTGTGAAAACACCCAGCTGAAACGAGGGGGTTTCATGGCCCTTTAACAAAATGCAAATGGTGTAATCCGAATTTGCTCCATAAATAAAACTTGTATCAAAGTAACAGCAAAGTGTCGCCTAGAAACCTACAACCTATCGAAAACCGCAACCCCCTCATATATATATATATATATATACACACACACACACACACACACATGTATATATATACACATACACACACACACACGCAACAAACACACACAAACACACACATACATATACATACACACACACACACACACACACACACACACACACATATATATATATATATATATATATATATATATATATACATATATATATATATATATATATATATATATATATATATATATATATTATGTTCTAAATTTTAAGACAAACAATTAAAATATGACTGATAAATATTTAGATGACAGTCATTAATTATGCCAAAATCTAAAATTGGCCTAGAAAAATAGAGGCTTTTCATTTTCTGTCGGTCTTAGTACACAGTGCAACCACAAAAGAGTCAAGCTCTAAATAAAAAATAAAATTAAATCAAAACTCACTGGTCATTTTTTAACAAAATGCAAATGGTCTAATCCGATTCAACGATCTATGCTAAGTTAAGCTAAAAGTGCTCCCGCCAGACCTGGAGATCTGCTGAATGGACTCAAGAGTGATTAAACTCATCTGTTTCAAATATGATTTAGCATTTAAATATTTTTATGTAAATGTTTTTTAACAAAATGGTGCTCACGTTTGTGCATACAGTGTGTTTTGTTCTGTACCCACGCTTCTGGGTCAGCCTGTAATATTTAAACTGTTGTAGCTGTTTAGTGGTCGTACCAGTAGATGTAATAGTATTCGTGCATGCTGTAGAGCTCCAGCTCAAAGCCGCTGAGCAGGTACTGGATCATGATGCGCAGGTTGTGGTAGAGGATCCAGGTGCCCAGACAGGCTAAATGCTGCCGCTGCGGCTCCAGCTTCATCAGCAGACCGTGAAGAGCAGCGTCCACCTTCTCTGCCTGAACAACAACAAAAACACACTCGATCATGACCTACAATTTCCATTAAGTCATTACATCAACGATCCTCACTGCCTGATATATACAGATATATACAATATAAAGTAAATGAGTAATGATCATGGTGAGTAATATCTTCTCCTGTTCATCTCACAAGTGACTGCCTGACACATGATTAGTGTGTCTCTCTGTCAACAGTGAGGACTTCACATGCAATAAATGTAGGGAAATAGTTCTCAGAATTAAAGACGCACATGGTAAGATGGTAAGAATGTTTGAGGGCGGCACGGTGGTTCAGTGGTTAGCACTGTCGCCTCACAGCGAGAAGGTCGCTGGTTCGAGTCCCGGCAGGGTCAGTTGGCATTTCTGCGTGGCGTACAGTCCAGACGCATAAGTTCACTGAATAAAACTAAATTGGCTGTAGTGTATGAGTGTGTGTGTGTGTGTGTGTGTGTGTGAATGAGTGTGTTTGTGTGTTTCCCAGTACTGGTTTGCTGCTGGAAGGGCATCCACTGCACAAAACAGATGCTGGAATTGTTGACGGTTTATTCCGCTGTGGCGACACCTGATAAATAAGACTCTAATCCGGAAAAATTAATGAATAAAGAGTGTCAGGACTCCAAGAGGGTTCACAACAATGAAACTCCAGAAACTGTCGTAAAGACACAGGCTGCGTCCGAAACCGCATACTTCCATACTATATAGTACGCTAAAATCAGTATGCGAGCCGAGTAGTGTGTCCGAATTCATAGAACTCGAAAATCAGTATGTGAGAAGTACCCGGATGACTTACTACTTCCGGCGAGATTCTGGAGTGCGCATACCATGCACGATGCGCTATCCCATGATGCCCCGCGAGCAAATTCATGAATGGGAGTGAAGCGACGCAAATGACGCAGGAAGGTCGCGTGACCATGACTAAATGGCGGATGTAGTACGTCCGAATTCCATTCATACTTTTCACATTCATACTGTATAGAATGTACTTTTCTAACGGCTGAGTAGTACGTTTAAATTCAAATGCAGTACCTACTGAGTAGTAGGCGGTTTCGGACGCAGCCACACGCCTGGATCTGAGCCCCTCCCCTAAGGTATCATCAGTCTATAGAAATTGATGCTTGGCTCATTTACTAGAAGGCGAACTTCCTTAACTAGAGTGCCCGTTAAATCATTCAGCATTTAAAGGTGAGATGTGTAAGACTGACACCCAGTGGTTAAACTAAGTATTGCAGTTCAAAATCAAAACACTTTTTCACATGGCCTCTCCTCTGAATGACTCCACGCAAATGCAGGTTGCCAGATTGATGAGACCAACAGAAGTGAGCGTGCCTGACTATTAAGCCTACACCGTAACTTCATGCAACAACATGCAATGAAAGGAATCTTTTCCATGTTTAAAGGAGTTAAACATAGAATTTTAAATTTTAGAAATGGTTTCTCAGCCATTTTCTTAACAACATAAAACTACTATGACAATTATGACCTCAGGTCCTGATTTTGTGCTTTATTCAGTGTCAATGCTACAAATGTGAGTTTGAATGCCATTTTACATGACATGTATCGCCTTAATGAAAGCAGCAGCATGTAGTTTACCTGAGATATTGAAACTAAAATAAACATAGGCCTAAAACTTAGTTTGAAAATGAATGTTAGAACGGAGGCTCAGTGTAAACCAACAAATATCAGTCACTTAGCATGTACTTTTGATGCACATTAAAAATGAAATGAAATACACTGCGCTTTCCACCAAGGAAACCCAAGATTCTGAAATGTAATTGGGAAAACTGGCAGTGGGCTGGTTATAGAAACCAAAACAAATACAGACATTCTGGCACGGAATGCACATTTTTAAAGTAAAAAAAAAAAAAAAAACAGACGGAAGCATTGTTTTTTTAGGTAAACAAGTAGATTCACTTAGCATGTTTCTTAAATATCTCCACAAATATGCTGTTTTTATGCTATCGAGTATTCAAAAACTTACATACAGCACCTTTAAAACTCAGCAAACTACACTTTTAAGTACTCTATAATCTTTGGTTGGAAAACAAAAAGGAGGACAGGTAAAAAAAAAAAAAGACAATTCTAATATTGGCTTAATGTTGCCTAATATAAATGTAAATGTGGTCGATGTTTGATTGCAGTTTACATGTAAACAAAGGAAAATCTAATCTACACACCTCATCCTGAAGTGTGGCGAACTCCTCCAGAATGTGACCCAGTTTGTCTCTCTGTCGGGCTCGGTTGTGTCCGTGAATCTGGATGAGGCTGCAGAACGGCTGTGGCAGATAGTAATTCTCTTATTTGACCATGTTAAATCAAAAAACACAGTTATATCTATTTGAATAAAATGAATCACAAACCCGCGTGCAGTGTGTGACAAAGGAGTCGATATAATCTTTAGCCTGGTGGTTATTATTCAAACTGCATCTGTGAAGAAGAAAAAAAAAAACAAGAGTTAAAACAAGTTAGGAACGTGATATGATCTTTAATTGATTATAGTTTATCACCAGATTCAAAATGGTGTGAACTTCCCATTACTGCACAATTTTTTATTACATAATAAATGACATTAAATATAAATGAACGATGCTGTTCTAAAATTATTTTAAAGAGTAATGACAATTTTAATGACAATGTATGACAAATTCAGTTTGTTCCACTGAAAAAATGTGCTTAAAAAATTTCAAGTCACAATTATAATGGCCTCATGACAGTCATGTTTATGACAGATTTATGACAAGTCATGTCGTCTTGATAATAGGTGCGTTCGACTTCATGCAGCGCTGCGCAGATCGATCGAAATCTGTCTTAAAGCTGTGCATTCTGGTTAGAAATCTTGTCCGGATTGATGCTGCGCCGACGCCACGTGACTGTCACATGTGGCATCAAAGTACCGCGACAGCGCTCCGAGATCAGACGGCAAACTCAGACCATGCAGCTTCTGAAGAGCGACTGCAGGAGCTTTGATGACGACACCGATATTACACGATTGGCCGAGTTCACCACATGACAACAAACACGTGTATTTCGGGTTTATAATTGGACAAATTCCGATTCAAAAGTTTCAAAACAAACAATTCACTTTTCACACCCTCTCTATCCTGTACACATCTTGCTTATTAAAAGACTACAAATATTTTACTGCAGTAATCATCTTTTGTTAAATAATCTGGTTATAAAGGTTAGCTTGTTTGCACAGGTTTATTTTTAACTTTTTTATACAGACTATTTACTGCATTCATCTCCATGAAAGATTTAAATGATATATTTTATTGTATATTTTAGTGAATAACCTAAATAAGTCTTAAAGACTTGAAATAAGAAAATCATCATCATTGATCCTGCCACCCTAAAGCTCTCTTAACAAATTAAAGTAAAGAACTATTTTATTAAATAATTATAAAATGGTTTTATTATTATAATATAAATAGGCCTATATATTTTATTTCCTGTCTAGCAGTTTAAAGGCTACCTGCTCTTTCTGGGAAACTTCTACATAGCTCACTTATTTTACCTTTTGTTCTTTTCAACACAATCTTTTTGGATTAAAATGCTTTTTTGAAAATTCATTCATTATCCAAAATAATGTCATTTATTAAGACCTAATCAAAACACCTTGTTTTGCTTTTTACATTGGAAATTTTTATATCTATAAATGTACATATATGTAAACCCATTTTTAGCATATTCAAACAAGAAGTATTAGCCTAAAGGTTGATGTTTAACTCCTAGAATTTATGCTTATTACTTTGTATTTAATAGACCTGTTCGTTTTTATGTTTATATTAACCTCTCATTTCCTCTTATTTTTCTCATGCATTTGTTATATATTTTATTCATAATTCTCTCTTATTGTTTAAAAAGGAACTACAGTTTGTAGAAACTGTATTCTGTTTTATTTGTAAATGTTTTGTTGTTATAAATAAAAACAACAAAAAAAATATGATGACGCCATGTGATCGGTCATCATGACTGCAGCAACTTTGAGTCCCGAAGTGTCCAGCTGTCCGTCTTGACGGCTCCGTTTTCAACTCCGCCCCCGCCTGCGCTCGGCTAATCTCGTTGATCACCGGCTGCAGCTGAGCTTCATGTCGAACGCACCTATTGTCAAGTTGTCATAATATCATCTTTGCATTTAAAGTGACATAAGTGGGCAAATGACACTGAATGACAGATATCCAAAGCATACAAAAAGTCTCATTCATATTCAAGATGTGTCATATCATGATTATAAATGTGTTATGACAGTCTAATAAACACCCATTCAAATAAAGAGTTTTTCCATAAGCAGGATTTCTGCAGGTTTCTCCTAGTCAAATTAAGACCTTTTTAAGACCATTATGAATGACATCTTAAGGCCCGTGCACACGAGACGTTTTTTTCTCACGTTTTCTGTCGACGTTTAACGCCTCGTAACTAAATAAAGGGCGTCAATGTGATTGTGCACACCAACGCGCAAAACAGCAGGCGCAAATATCGTCATTTAAAAAAAAAACGCCTCATGCTCGTTTTGTTGTTTTGACGTGCAGCTTCAAAACCTTCTCCACCAATCAGATTGGCACTTTTGTTCACGTGCACGGAGCTGCTTAAGTTACCGTAAACAGCACTTGGAGGCACTCAAGCGCAAAACTGTCAATGCGAGTGCACACTGAAGAAGATGCCCAGAGGCGATATGAACGTGGAGCTGCTTATTGCACTGGTAAACAACAATCATTTTTTCATCGCTAGAGCTTGCTTGTTCAAATCACCAGTAAAGTTAACAACAAGCGTGTGAACTTCCGCTCCTCCACTTCTTCTGTGTTATAACCGGGTGTCAGAAGCTTATAGTTGTGCAGCGCCATCTAATGACAAAAGAGTGATTAAGCATACTCTTCTGCTTGACGCCAGTGAAAAGCGCTTGAGTTTGAACACTGAAAAACATCTCGTAAAACGCTGACGATAAACGCAAATGAAAAAGGTCCCGGTGTGTAGGAGCCTTTAGACTTATACAGGACTAAACGATAAGTATTCTTTTCTAATGATCAGCGGATAACATTAAAATTCAAACATGGTAATTTCTTAGCTTCATGTTTTAAATAATTTGTTAAAACAAGTTAACTCTAGTTATATACATATAATATTATTCTCAGCATAACTTTTGTTTAAAAAAATTAATGAAATTAAAATTTAATTGTTGGTTGTACTGATCGGCTAGCTTTACATGGACGAAGGAAAATTAAGAATAGTTTAAAATTATTTAAGACCTACAACACAATATTTGAGCGAATTGTACACTTTTTAAGTATTTTTATTTAATTTTTAATTTAAAACCGTGCAGACACCCTGAAATTTAGTCCAAAAGTTAAATAAACTAGAAATAGATTTTCCTGCCAATGGTTTGAATCCTTTGTCATTACAGGTTCAAAAAATTGTGTGTTTAGCCCTTGTTTTCATGCGCTCTGGAGTGATTTTGAGGCTTAATTTGGCCACAACTTTTTGTGTTTCAGCAAAGGTAATGATTTTAGGTGGCAAATCTTATTTTGACACATATTTTAAGAAAATCCTTTAAAAAACAAAACAAAAAAACAACAACAACAACAACAAAACACTCCTGGCAAATTGACTACCCTTTCGTTAGGTTCAGGGCTGTTTTTGCCCTATTGACTTTCATTATAAAGACATTTTTGGATTGCAAAGGCATGACATCATATAATAATGCATTATTTATTATTGGTGCAAAGAGGTTGTAAAATTTTTTGTAAAATTACAGAATGTTTGCAGATATAAAAATATCCTCCACATTTTACTTATGCAAAAAAATTATAATTAAATTAAAACAAAATATTATAATTATTAAGTACCAGTGATTATATTTATTTTGTCGTTTTTACTGTTG